GCAGCCCCCGCTGCCCCCCATCCCGCGGCTCCCTTCTGCGGCCTGCGTGCTCCTGGGAAGCGAGGCCCGCACGGGCGCCCGCCGCTGCGGGTCCGGCCAGGCAGACAATTCCTTGAGGCTCTGGCCGCCTGAGGCCCAGCTCGGGCCTCCTGCTGCGGACGTCTGTACACAGACCCGGCTGTGTGGGCATCCCTGCCTCCCGTCAGGCCGCCAGGACGGCCTCTGGCTCGGCCAGCCCGCCTGAGCACGTCCTCCCCCTCCTCCACGTTCACCTCGCCCCAGTGGGTCCCTGGAAGGCAATGTCATGGTTGTCTCCATCTTGCAGCCTGGGGAGCCCAGAGCATAGAAAGATGCAGTTATTTGCTCGGGCCCACTCACCCCTCACACCCTCTTCCTGGGACCTCTTCACCTTCTGCTGTGATGGCAAGCCCCTGGCAGCTGGGGGGGTGCAGAGGGGCTGCCTCAGCCTGGCTGTAGCTTTCCTGCAGCCCCTCTGGGTATTTACAACCTTCCCTGGGCCTGTTCAACCCAGTCTAGACTGATGCCCTTTCCTTGTTAGTAGGCTTATCTGCAGCCGGCCCTCAGGCCGTGTGTCAGGGGCAGCCCCTTACCTGGACAGCTCTTATCGTCTGCCTCGGCAAGGGACAAGATTGGGCATGGTGAACTAGAGCGAGCGGTGGGTGGCAGGCAGGAAGGCATCCCTGGGGTAGGATGTCAGCAGTACAGTGGTTGTTCCAAGTTCTGTGAAGGGAAGGCTTGGAAGGAGGAGCTGGCACCAGGTTCTCTGAGACGGCGAGCAAAAGAATGCCTACCTCACAGACAGATGCGGTGCCAGGACAGCCCTTGGCACCGCCCAGAACGGCATTAGTGCTACTTCTCCAGGGATAGGTGCTCCTGGGACTTGCGGGTACCTGCAGGCGGAGGGCGCAGGGGAGAAGCTGCCCCAGGCTGCGGCAGAGCGCCTGTCCGCCCCCCAGGGTGTACGGAGCCCAGTGCCGCCCTCACCGGGGCGGATGGGTGGGCTTGTCTACACTGAAGGACACCTGCTGACCTCAGCCTCCCCTGTAAGCCAGCAGACCTGACTGCACGGCCACGCTGAGGGACGGCCCCCCGATGGCCAGTGAGGAGCCTCCGCGGTGCCCCTTGTGGCTTCTGTGCCGGGACTCCTTGCCCAGCCCAGGTGACCAGGAGGTCCTGCGGCCTGGAAACTGCACAGGGAGCCCAGGAACTGGCAGACCCCAGGAGGGAAGAGGAGAGGCCCGCTGTACCAGCTGGCTGTCAGGTGGTGGAAGCAGACAGGGTGGGCAGGCGCTGTGGCCTGAGTGGAGATGGGAGATGCCACTGGAAAGAGGCAGTGGCCACAGAGGCCCAGGAAGCAGGGGAACGTGGATCAGGGTCGGGGCACGTGCCTAAGCCCTGCTCCTGTGTGCCCAGCCTTCCCCAGACTGGGACGGCAAGTGACCTCATAACTGGAGGGCAGACTCTTCCGAATGGTGCTCAGGACTGGCTGCCCTGGGCTGGATGGGCAGGACAGGTGGGGCTCGGGACGTGGGACACAGTCCCCTCGGACCTACCACTCCAGGAAGCATTTGCAGCCCAGGACACACACGCACACACACACACATGCACACCATGAGCTGACCTGGCTAGGATGGCTTTGTCCTGGGCGTCCCCATCTACATGGGGACCACGTCCATGGCCACCAGGCGTGTGAGCCTGAGGAGGGCCGCAGGAGGACAGCGTTGTCCGTCTTGTTAGGACACAGTGCGCCCTGCTCAGCTGCGTCTGTGCGGTGGGATTGTTGCAGGGATACAGACGGCCTGGGGAGAGGGAAGCAGAGAAGGCAGGTGCTTGTTCCTGGGTCTTCTCCAGGGCTCCTTACCTCCCCTGTGTACTCCCGTTGGCCACACTCGGTGGCTGCGTGGCCGCGGGCCCCTGTCCCTCTGCACTCGCTGTGTGTGCCCTGCCCTGTCCTCACAGCTCTCGGAGACTCCTCAGCCCTGGGTTGCCAGCTGCTCAGCCGCCCCTGCCTTCATCACCTGGGGACTCCCTGGGCCCGGGGCTGCGGGTGCCCTCAGAAGCACTGTGGTAGTTAGTGCTGTGATGTGGGGCCTCAGAGTGAGCCCTGTCTTTCTGTCTCTCTAAACAGGTCTTCGCACAACGAACTAGAAAAGCACAGGTAAGTGGCTTTCCCGCCCCCTGTGTTTCCTTACGAGCTGCCTGGCAGGCATGGCCCACCTTCTGCTGAGGGGCAGCAGACTGGGGCCAGAGTTCAATGGAGGCAGTCTGGCCATGCTCCCCGGAGGAGGGACTGTGGGCCTGCGTGGCTCCTGCGCTCAGCTTGGAGGAGGCCCGCTCCTCCTGCCCAAGGCCCAGTTGGAGCCAGGCTCCTGACCAGAGCGTGGGTTCCTGCCCCCAGGCCTCCCACAGACAGCTAGATGGCCATGTCCCCGCAGGACTGAGGCCGGAGTCAGCCAGCAGAGCCCAGCGCAGGGGAGTGCTGCGGCTGCGTCCCCTGTGACTTGGCCTGTGTGGGGGAGGTGTGGCTAGTCGAGCACCCTCTTGGTGGTCAGTGGGAGCTCAGGCACCCGGAGCAGCCCCGTAGACCAAGGAGATCCCCGAGGACTGCTAGGTGGAGGCTGCACACATCTGTGAAATGGGCCAGTTCCATTTCCTGGTGGGGCGGGTCTGCATCCCAGACCAGAGCCTCATGGGTGTGCTGGGAAGATTGGAGTCTGGCCAGTTCTCCCCTCTCCCTCCCCCATGTCTGAACCCTTGGCAGCACCAGCTTCCGCTCCCGCGGGATGGGGCTCTGGCTGGGCGGGACGGAACACCGTGTTCCCTGAGGAGATGCACTTCCTGCACTGGTCACGTGTGTCGGGGGGCAGGGTGTTCCCAGAGGGCCATGGGGTTGGGGGCTGCTGCTGGGCTCCCAGGCCAGAGTCGCCCAGTCAGCCCTGATCAGGCCCGGCGCGGGGGCATTCTGGGGGACGCTTCCTGGAGAGCATGTCGGGGGAGCAGCCTGGGCGCAGAGGGAGGGCAGGTGGCAAGGGCAGAGGACCAGGCCTGGCCTTCATCTCTGCCATCTCTGCCCCCAGCCTGTGCTCACACTGGGCCTCAGGCATGGCTGGCAGCCTGGGTGCCCCCAGCCCAGCCAGGAGTCCTGGCCAAGCCATAGGTTTGGTGGGCCCTGAACAGCCCAAGGGCCTGAGCTTGGGGCCTGGGTAGGGGTCTCCGTCATGGCCAGGGAGGAGGGAGGGACGCTCTGGGTACCCTCGCACGCACAGCCAGGCTCACATGCCACCGGCCCTGGGGGAGAGGGTCCTCCTACTGGGCCTGGCTTGAGCCTGTGGCACCTCCTTGGACAGGTTCTCAGCCTTGCTCTGGCCCTGGTCCTTGTCTTCTAAGTCCCCCGGTAGACAAGCAGTCTGCCAGCCAGTCCAGCGCCTGGTGGCCCTTGTGGCTCAGCCCTAGGCTTTGGCCGGAGCTAGTATACAGAGGTGGCCCTTGTGGCTCAGCCCCAGGCCTTGGCCGGAGCTAGTGTACAGAGGGAGCTCTGGGTTCTCTTTGCCCTAGAGTGGCGGGTTGCACCCTAAAGGGAGATGGCGCCAGGTCCCTTTCAGGGACAGAGGCCCAGTGCAGCCCCGTGGAACCACACAGGGCGCATAGAAGGTTCTAGTGAGCTGAAGGGCCTGCAGGAGCGCTTTTGTCCCTTCGCACTGGCCGGCAGGTGACTTCCCCGGTGCCCTTTCTCCAGCGGCCTGGCCTGGTGTGGCCCAGAACGTGGCTCTGCCAGCCTGGAGCTCAGCCCTGCGGCGGAGGGGCACCGTGGCATGGAGCTCAGGGTGTTGTCTGAGGAGTGGGAGCCAGTGGCGGCAAGGCAGGAGGGCGGTGCCAAGGGCTTGGCACCGGGGGTGGTTCACGTAGGATTCGCAGGGGCTGCGTCCGCTCCGGTTCCTTTCCAAAAGGCAAAGTTCCAGCGACTCCACGGGATGCCTGGGGCCGGGACGGAGGGCTGCGGGGAGGGGCTCCGCTGGAGGCTCAGCATAGCCAGGTTCTGGGGCTGTGGGGCTCAAAGGGTGAGGACCGCCCCGGCGCCCCCACCCCACACTGGCAGAGCTGAGGGCCTCAGGCAGCCTGCCCGTCACAGCTGCTGCCCCGGGCAAGGAGCCAGGGCGACCCCGGCAGCCTGCAGCACGCACCCGCCCAGGACTGGGTGGACACGCTGAATTTTAAACAGCACATGTGTATGGTCTAGTGCCTTGCTTTGTCTCTGGAGAAATGTGTTTTTCTAAAGTGTTGTTCATGTGCTTCCTGTACTGCACCCCAAAGAGCGTCTCAATCACTTGGTCCCTGGGGTAAGAAGGGCCCCTAACGCTCCTCTGTCCCTGCTGCGGTCCTCCACTCAGCACCCCGTGAGCGCTGCCCTCCAGCCTCTCCCTCCCAGACCTCCCTGGCCTGAAGCCTGCGTAGGACCCACAGTTTGCTCCCAGGGTCTTAATGGTGCCTGTGTGGCGGGCAGTGCTGACCCCGCATCTTTGCATGCCTGGGAGGACATTATAAGACCCAAGTCCTAAGACCAGTGGAAGCGCTAGCCACAGTTACGAGCCAAGCCCACGGCAAACCACAGGTCATCGGCGCCGGCTAAGCAAGCGCCTTCTGCCCTCTTGACTGGCGTGAAGGAGAAAATGTGTATCTGCTTGTTGGAGCGCCTGTTTCCTTGATTACTCGTGAGATGGAGTGAACTTCATGTTAGATTTGCCCTTTGTGTTCTGCAACTCTCCTGTTTGTGCTCTTTGCTCATTGTTACATTGAGGTACTGCTCTTTATTTTGGATGTGTATGAGCTCAAAATATCACGAATACTAACCGTGTGTCTTTTATATGTATTGCAAATATCTTTCTATTGTTACTTGTCTTTTAGCTGTGTTTTTCCCCCCTCTTTCTTGTACAAATGTGTCTTTCTCTGTATTAGTAGCGTGGGGAGGGACTAGCATAGCAAATACCTGGAAATACAGAAGAGCGCCACGCTAAAGAAATAAACGCTGCGGCCGCCCGTGCTGGCGACGCGCGCTTCCTGCGTCGTTGTGTTCCGTGGAGTCTCTCATGTGCGTCTGCTGTTCCATTTGCTCAAACAAAACCGGGTCACTTGTCACACACGTGGTTCTGTTTCCAAACTTTTTGTTGAACACTCATGACAGGGAAATGGAGATGGAGCACAGTGATCATGTGGTTCTCTGTGGGCGGGGCGCTTTCTCTTTTGACCGTTGGTACTTGCGAAGGTCATTGTGACAGACGCAGTGAAGTGGGGGTGGCAGCAGGCACTGAGGAGACCTGACAGCACCTGGCACCCCAGCCTCGGTGGTGGCCGCAGGACAGGTGACTGGTCTTGGCAGGGCCTTTCTTCCGTTAGCTTGCTCAGCTACATGCCTCCAGCCCGGGACTGCAGGCTCACCCACTGGAGGAGAGGAGGCTGGGGTTCTGGGCGCTTGGGCGTGAATGAAGGCAGAGGGAAACCCACAAGGCCTCAGCTCCACCACACTGCCTAAGCCCGGCTCCGGCAGCGTGACTTCTCTCCCCTATCCCCTGGCCAGCCCCTGCCTCAGTATGTATTCTAGAAGTTCTTCCTAAAGTCTAACTGTTCCTCATCCAGGGGAACCTCTGGGCCTCCAGGTGCTCAGTGAGACGGTGCTGTTGACAGGTGTGGGCGCAGGCTGCAGCCTCCCTCCCTCCTTCCCTCCCTCCCCCCTCTGAGCTGGGCTGCCAGTGTCTCCCCGCAGCCTCTCCCTGCACCCAGTGACGCCTCCTCTGTCCAAGGAGGAGGTGGCAGTGCCTGCCTTCGGCCCTGCAGGGTCTCTTCAGGACTGAAGAAGACCGTGAATGTGCTGCTCCATGGCTAGGGAGAAGATGCTGGCCCTGATGGGCCGCAGGCTTTCCAAAGTCCCCAGAATAGTCCCCGCCTTGACCTGGCAGCTGTGCGCCTGAGAATCCATACTTAGCAGAGTATAGTGGCCGTGGGAGCGAGGTGGGGCCGGCAGGGCTGGGGGCAGTGCTGAGCCGCTCAGATCCAACGGCAGGGGCCAGGCAGGGGCCGTGCGCCAGCCTGCGGATGCGTGCGGCCACAGCACGGGTCCGGCTGTCACCAAGGCCACAGAGGGCCGTGGCTGCCCCTTCCAGCCCAGTGGGCCTGTCAGGAGCGGCAGCACTTGGTCGGGGAGGGGGGGTCGTGAGGCCAAACCCCCTGAGGAGATGGATTCAGGAACAAAATGTGTCATGAAGACCTAGCAAACCCGGGGTCAGGGAACTGGCCCTGAGCCCTCACACGCCCCTGTCAGCGCCACAAGAGGGACCAGGGCGCGTGCGGCACGCTGGCATTGTCTGAGTCCCGGGCCTCTGAGCCCAGCTGTGCTTAGGCAGGCTTTGCAGGGTCCCTCGAGCGCCCACATCCAGTGTGCCCCATGTGCCAGGCCAGGAGATCCCCGGGGAGGGACCCCCGCGGTGGGGCCGGGGTCTGGGCAGGAGCCGCCCGGCCCTCCCTCAGGCCCGGACCCCTCCTGCTGGCGCCTCATGGGCCTTCCTGCCTGGCCTCACGGACTGTCTCTGGCTCTTTCAGACGAGCCAAACTCAGGCTCTACCTGGAGCAGCTGAAGCAACTGGTACCCCTGGGCCCTGACAGCACGCGCCACACCACGCTGAGCCTCCTGAAGCGGGCCAAGATGCACATCAAGGTGAGCAGTGTGGCCTGCCTGCTCCTGCAGCCCTGGCTCTGCCACAGGCCCAGAGGGCCGTGGGGGCGCCTAGAGGCATGTGTTGGGAAACGATGTTTTCTGGGGGACCGTAGAACGGATGGGAGTCAAGGAGATGCCATGGCTTGGCTGAGTTTTACTAGTAGTGCCGGGGGAGGCAGTGGTGTGGGCAGGCCAGGCTGGGGGGGGG